CTCGATGCCCACGAACACGTCCAGCAGGCACGGCACCAACTGAAACAATACAATACATTCCAGTACGGTATGACAGTCGGACTAGCCTGGCGACAGACCGACTGCCTGCCAGTTAAAATATATAAATACTGCTGGTAAAATGTAAACCAAGCATTACACATATTGTGTTGAACCCTAGTCGTATGTCCTTCTAAATTAAAAAAATAACATCCAAATATAAAAAAAAAAACTGTAAACTTTTCGTTTTTTTTTTACATTTGTTTAATTAATGTTTTTTATAAATTTGTTGACGATTTAATCATTTTGTTTTTTTTTTAGCTTACATTATCAAAATGCTTAATTGAATTTGTTGTCTTTTTTTATTAAAATTACTGGAACCAAATTATTTGATATGTAAATAATGTGGTGGTGGTTGGTTAACTTGTTTTATTTATTTAGACAAATAAAATTTGTGAGTCAGTGATACCTGTAAGCGGTGCGGGTTCTCCTTGAAGAGCTGTTCCCTGGAGAAGGAGGCGAGGTTGCTGAGCGGCACCTGGTCATCGGGGTGGTTGGGCAACATCGCCTCCAGGCACTCCGCGAGACGCGCTCTGTAATGTTACATTTACTATGTTATTACAATTAAATGTTCATACTAGTAGTTTTCAGCGAGGATTTTTAATAATATAGTTATAAACATAGCTTAATATATTTCGAAAAGTTATTTCAAATCAGTAGTTTAAAAAAATAAATATTTTCTCTTTATAATGTTATAAAAAAAAATCAGAAAAGTTTAACAATGGACATACAAATCAAAATTTTCTTCCATAATAAATTAAAACAGTTCCCTTAGAAAGAAAGTAGGTTTGTAAACGAGATGGGCGACCTTCAAGAGCGCCATACGCATAAAAGGTCCATTTTCCTATGGGTTAATATTGCAGTTAGGAGGTGCCTGTAATAAAATTTAAAAATATAAGTGTGTGACCTTAAATGTGGGTTGTATGTGCGCGAGGCGTCCCCCATGAAGGCGAGGACGAGGGTGAGCGCGGGCTGCAGCAGGCCCGCCAGCTCCGCCTGCTCCGCCAGCGCGCCCGCCGTGCGCCGCGACATCGTGATCAGCACCACGATGTTCTCCAGCACGAACTCCGGGATACATCTGGTGAAGGAGTTTCAAATACAAATAATTTATAGCTAAACGAATTACAGGTCATAATGTTGGAAATAAAAAAAAAAACTCTAGATATTCTGAATGAAAATTGTGTATATATAACAACCATTATGGTAGGAAAAATTCTTCGACACTATAGGCTTTTCATTGCTTAAACATTTACAACTAGCTGTTGCTCGCGACTTCGCACATGTCAAATTAAAAAAATATATCCTATATTACTCACAGACAAATTACCTTTCTGATGGTGAAAGAATTTTCAAAATCGGCTCAGTAGTTTTTAAGTTATTTTAATACATATAAAAATATAAATCTTTCCTCTTTGTAATAATAGTATAGAAAACATGATACCGTTCATGACCAAATATTTAAAAAAACTTTATCCAGCATAATATTATAATAACGTTACATTTTACCATTTCATTTCATTATTTAAAAAAAAACTACATAACTAACATCCCTTGAATTTAAAAGTCCATGTATGTCGCTGTCGATAGTACAAGTTGGTCAAACCTCAAAGTGTCTGGAGGCGGTGCGGTGAGCGGCATGTGCACGGGCAGGAGC